CGTAAAAGTTTCCACGTGTTCACAACGGCAAGTCTCAACACTACACACAGTCTTCAAAAAACTTCTTCGGCGAATGACGACGAACGAGTAGAAAACGTGTCTACAGCACGCTGGAAAACCGCAGCAAAGGCTAGCAAAAACGGCAAATCGTATCCCAAGCGAGTGAAGTCCGGTGGCTTCACTTGCGCTGCAGCCAACAAGCGGGGAAGCGCGATCCAGCAATTGTCATAGAGATCAGTGGTTGGGTCCCACCTCGCACGTGTCTAAATTGAAGTTGCACGTAACGCCGGAAAGTTGGTATGTTTTTCAAGATTACTCCCAGTCCCAGGCCATCTCAAATCCTCTTTTTTGTGTGTGTGTGTGTGCAGCGGCTATTTTCTTGCTCTTTTGAGCACGAGAAAAGCCGTTGTGGAAAGAGACTCCTCTTCACTTCTGCTTTCATAGTTTCCACCCTTTTTCTCCTCGCACTTTTTTTCTTATGTTGTATCCGACTCTAGTGTGGGCTCTGCAGGTCCAGCATCATCCCACAGGGGTAGTTAAGGTTTCTCCCGGAAATTGAAAAATTCGTATTTTAACATAACTATTTGACCCCCAAAAAAAAAGTGTTTTTTTTTTTTTTGCAGACATGTTTTAAGCATACATATGTTATAAAGCAAACACGCTGCGAATTTTTTTTATTATTTTTTTAGGGAGCGCGTTGGTATTTTATACATTTTTTTACGAAAGAATTACACATCAAAGACAACACGGAGAGCACATCTCCGTGTTGCTGCAGAGTGCAGACACACGCCTGATGTGCTGTCTGTTCGTAAAGAAATGTATGCTGCGATCATGTGTGAGGTGTGTGTCCTCGGTAATATACCTGCGGAGAAACACCGTGTCCCTTGCATGACATATATGAGCAGTGTGACCGGGCTAGCCGCAATCCCACCGCTCATACGTCACACAGGTCTGTGAACAGAAAGGAAAGCCATTTAGGCTCGCATGAGAGCACGGCGCGGTTTTCGCTGGGACGTCTGCAACAGGTACATTCGAGACATAATGGACAGACGCGTAGAGACATCTGGTGGAGAGCAAGCGAGTCAAGAGTAAAAGGCGCGAAGTTCGTCGATGGTCGGTCACTCGCTAGTTGAGAGGTACGTCTCATCAGACATTAGGGAGTTTTCGTAGATCGTTTTCGCCGTCCCGCAAGGCCCTCCGCAACCCGCTACAATAGCGGGAACTCCACAGTCAAGGCTATCGGCGCGCAGGCGCAGTAGCAACTTCTCCGTTGCGGAACGCTAAGCGGAGGAGGCAGCGCAGTCTACGAAAACTCCCTATTGAGGAATTGTAGTAGACCGTATCCGTAGCCCGCTAACCACCCGGATAGCGCTCCGTAATCCGTCCAAGACTTTGAACCATGCAGACAAAGCTGGCGGCGCGCATGCGCAGCTGCGACGTTTTCTTCACGGATACTGTAGCGGAGGAGAAAAACGGTCTACTACAATTCCCTATTAATTCGTAGATCGTTTTCGCGGTCCCGCAACGCTTCCCGTAACCCGCTACGGTACCAGGAACTCAACAGTCAAGGGCGTCGGCGCGCAGGCGCAGTAGCGGCTTCTTCGTTGCGGAGGGCTTAACGGAGGGGGAAACGCGGTCTACGAAAACTCCCTATTGCTCCTCCCCTTCCCGGAAAAAAAAAAGAAAAAAAAAAAGAAGGGCGTAACGCTGCCCTGCCGAGTGCATGCGATCAGAAATACGCAAGCCGCCAGATAGGCATCTTGCGTTGGTTACAGCTCTATACTTACCTCCGTTTTCTCTTGTTTTCCGCTGTTGGCTTATTTACGTTGAATATGGGTGCCGCATGGGGCAGCGCCCATGGAGAATGCACCAACTCATGTTTACAAACAAACCGGAGCGCCCCTAGCGGAAGCCACCGCCGCCGCGCATGCGCGATGGAGGTGTGGGCAAGAAGCTCACGGTCGCCCATAAACAAACCATTGGAACGCGATGTTGTCGGCGTCGGTGCGAGTCCCCCTGCCTTTTTTCACGTTCGAATTGTCGATTCTACGTCTTCCTGGCGATGTCTGACTACTTGAGCGGCGTCAGCGAAACTACCGAGGCTCGTTACACCGCAAAACTTCGCATAAATAATGTGGCACGTGGTGATTCATTCCGCGTGGACTTCGCAGTATGTATGCTAAAGCCTGATTCGCATGATATTTCGCTCGCAATTTTCAGTCGCGACGTCACTCGGGCTGCAAAAGCCTGAACCGTAGCTGAGTTGGTCGACGTCGATGCTGAAAATAGCAAGCAGGATCGGATCAAGTGAATCAGGCCTAACAAGTCGGTGATGGTTACTGGTAACAATGATCAACATCTCCTTGTGTCTACTGTTTTATCGAGCCTGCTTACCAGCCTTCAAATTTAAGTCTTCTGAGGTCTGGACTTACTTCTTACCGCAAGCACCGGGCCAATAATTGCTCTACGGGCCGTCGTCCTCTAAGAGAGCAGACGACACGCAGAAACGTTTGAAAGAGCAGACGACAGTTCGAACGATCAGGCGGCCGTTTGAACTTGAAGACGCACTAGACGTAGTCCGCAGGTGGTCCGCACAACTTGACGGTTTTCTGGCGTTCATGTTGGAACAAAACAAATAAATCTGATGGCCATAAGTATCCCTGAATTCAACCCAAAGTGCTTCCCGCCCAAGTAATCGTTGTCCGACGGCGTCTGCTTTCCCCTTTTCACGGCACATATTCAGATTCTCGGACGAACCGAGCACCTGAAAACTGACCTTCAAACCTTTCTCGACGCTTTTGGTACGGCCCCAGTCGCGGCGTTTTGACGAGAAGGCAGGTCTTTGTCTGGTTCCTTTCAAAACAACGCAGGAATACACGTCTGGCATGGGGACTTCTGCCCACAGACCCAGACCGGAAGTGCGACCGACGCGCCACCACCGCGCCGTGACGTAACAGAGATGAGTTCGTGTATAGAGAGCGATTAAAGCCAAATTACATGAAAACTAAGCGCCGAGTACGGAAGACTTCAGCTGAGAAGATTCACGTTATGGGCACGACTGACATCTCGTCTCAGGTGAATTTCCGTCGTCTTTTGTGTGAAAATGTTCAAGGTCATGGCCTGTCCCTCTAAAAACCGCACTCGCTACTGCCACCCTTTTCAGGGAACTTCTCTGTATTTGCAACCATACCCCATTTTCCCATAAACGTTACCGCAGCAGGCGTTCCGAGCCGTCCCAAATAAATTCAACTCGGTGGGAGGTCATGCGATCCCCAGCGGAAGGTTACGTGCAACTTTTAGGGCGTAGCTCTTACGCGCCCGTTTCCGGCTTTAGCGGCATCGTCGTCGGTGTAACCGCGCGTTGCATTACGGGACGTTTCCCATAATTACGTCACACGTGACGTCATGAGTGATTGTGACGTCATTCGTGACCCTAGGTCACGATTGACGTCATGAGGGTCGATAGGGTCACGAGGGAGGAGGAGGAGGAGAGGGAGGAGGAGGGAAGGACCGAGGGGCATCTTCCTCTCGTAGCCTCCCTTCCTCCTCAAGAGCTGCGCTCTAATTCGGCATTACAGGGAGTTGTAAACGTCTTTCATTGTTTCATCGTTCGGTTAGCTTCGGTAATTCCCGTAGATAAAAGGCACACTTCGCACTTCTTACAGGTGCTACGAGTCTTTTGAACGCTGGCTCTATAACGGTACAAGTTGTAGGAAGCGAATCGCGGCACGCAGCAGCAGAATGAACTGGAAGACGCCATTCCGCATATCGAGAGTGTTTGGTAGACCACGCACTTTCCCGGATCTCTGCCAACTATGGTGTTGGGTGGAATAAGCTGCAATGGTTTCGATTGAGCTGGCCTAACATGGCCTAACATAGCTTCTGTGGCCGTTGTCGATTATGTTGGACAGCTAATACGTCATACAAAAGCGTCTGCGAACACTAGAGTTTTAGGAAACCGTATCGGATGGGCAAAAATGATTACCTAAAACTCTCTCCTGTCTGAGGCCTGTTTCTTCCCTGTACGGACGGTCCCGTCAAATTGCGCACAAAAACCTATCTTTAGACATATTCGATTTATACATGTGTATGAGGTGAACATGCTTCGAAGATGCATGAGACGTGTGCGCAGATGCTTCGGTCATCGTGTCTGTAGGAAGCATAGGGAACAACGCAAGAAATAAAAAAAAGCGTTCAAATATTCTCGACTTACCATCACGACAGGTGGCAGCTAAAAGTTTCTTCGAAAACGTGGGTGCCAGTTTTAAGCTAAGCTTTCTTTTTTTTTTTTTTTTTTGTGTGCCTCCAACAGTGCACGGTCGTACGACCACGCAGAGATCCCGTGCTTTTTCAATCGTTCGCACGGGCCGTAGCTTCGTAAATGAAATTGTTGTCCCTAAGTGGTTAGCCTATTAGGCAGTTTTAGCGTAGCGGCATTGCTACCGGAAACTCGCGCTGCACTTTCGAAACACATATATTCTTCAGCGCCCGCAAATAGCCTCGCCTTGTCCACCCGCGGTAGCTTGAGGTAACTCAAAACAAAAAGCGCCGAAAAAATACAGGGACACAGACGAAGGGAAACAGGACAAGTTGCACTCTCAACTGAAGTTTATTAGCCTCTTATTAGGCACTTCAGTTGAGAGTGCGCCTTGTCCTGTTTCCCTTCGTCTGTGTCCCTGTATTTTGTCGGCGCTTTTTGTTTGCAATGAACCAACTGGCCCAAAATCTCCACTTTATTGAGGTAATGCTACGCAGAAAGCACACATCTGCGTACGTTTGCTTGCAGTGTTCTCGATTGTAACAATCTGTTTAATCTTAGGAAAACAATCCAACTATGCGAACCTTTTCTTCTTTTTTTTTTTTTACATCTTAGCCCTGACGCAACACTCCTGTTCAATCGATGCCCCTTGTTGGCCTTCTTTAGGTGACGTCACTAATTCGGCACGACAGCCTTCTTATATAGCCGTTTTGCTTCGAGGCACAATACAAGAAAAGACATCTCTCAAACAATGAAAGTTTAATGAATCCTATAGCCTTCCAGCAGGCCTGTTGGCGTGACGTGGACGCGACACCGACATGAGGTATGAACGGTCAATATTAGGCACATGTGAAAGAGTCTGGTGCATCCATGGTGGTCCCTTGGTCCCGAAGAGCAACAATTGACGGAAGTGCTTCATAGATGATCCTTCAGTGACGACGTAGGTTTCGATAGGCAACACTGGCTCGCTCGTAACTAAACAATAATATACTATACTAGGGGGGAAAACCGGTAGAAGGAATAGATGTTAGCATACAGAGCAGAAGCAGTTCGCCGTCGATGACCTGCATCGCTGATGTTTCCTGATACGCACTTTACATTAAGAGTCGGAGCTATCCCACGAGCCGTCACTTAGGTGGTTGCTGACGTCATGGCTGTTGGTCCGGTATGACCGTCGCTTTGCTCGCACGTGTTTCAATATGGTCCAGCGAATTTATTGTTGCATCTTGTTGTGGTAGCACTTATTGGAGGGCTCGAATTTTGTATCATCTGCACACCGGGTTTTATCGGAGTTGCCATTTTCGATGTTCGATGTTGGTGCCCGAACTGCCCCCGCTTGCCAAAGCTACAAGGCGGTGCTGTACTGTGCTTTTGTCTCTTGTTGGACGCTACTTTTTGTAAAAAGTGTAATGGTCTATAGTTTACTGGGGGGAAGTTCATAGATACACAACAGGAACAAAAGAATGGTCTCAAGTTAAAGTCAAGAGCTACGGTGTTTGTTAAAGTCCGCGTGCGATTGATTTGATTCGTATGGGGAAAAACGCAGACAATGAATAAAAATGCAAACTGGAAACTTCCTGCTTGACGCCGTGCCCTATTGGCGACCACTGCTGTTTGTATTTTATCATCCACCGCGTCACGTGACGTGGCAATCGGACACGCAGCCAACCTCAGATCAAGTGATGCATCGCCCGATTGGTCGTGCACCTTGGTGTGTGCATCCGCTGTGCTCTACCAACTTCAAGCTAACTTCTAAGGCACCTTTATAAGTTCCCAGCACTAAGTTTTACGGTAAGCGTTCGCGTTCAAAGTCCTCCTAACACAAAATGCCGAGAGATGTCTTCGTCAGGCGAAGAAAAAGAGCGTGGACTTATGCATGCAGCAGTAAAGTTTCAAAATGCATCTGAACCCTATGAACACCAAGAGAGTGGCATGGTCAAAATTAAACACTGTATGTGCTCCGATCACCCCTAAGCTGACAGTGCTGTGGAAGCTACGCACTCGCCGAACCAATCAACTCCCTGCCCATCAATACCGGACCGCGCTCTTCGCGCGTGGGTGTGGTGGGTGGAAGCGTTATCACGTGACTGAAGATGGCTGGTCCAACAAGTCCGTAGTTTCCACCGCACTGACAGTTTAGGGGCGAATGGAGTATAGGGGGCGCAATGTGCCTGCAAACTCATAAGAAGTTTTGCCATTGTCCATCCATTCCAATCGTCGGCGGCACTTAATACTGGTTGCCCGTTGTTCATGTGGTTTTTTGCTTCAGTCTGCGCTTGAGGACCACAACATAGTACGAACAAGACTCGTGAAGAGTGTAAAGCTGTGAGCGGTTTTTCGCCCCGTGACTAGTTTCAGCGTCTCTTCCTGGAGTGACAGTGCCATCGACGGGCGGCGCAAAGAGATGAGTTGCATAGCTTCCACGCTTGAAGGCACCGCTCTCGTCATGAGGAAGCTACCGGTGGGGTCGACGACTGTAGTTGACGCTACGGGTGTTTTGGAGTGTGCAGCTGCTCGGAGCTGATGCCAGCGGTCCGAGATTTGCTCTGAAAGTGAACACAGGAAATGTTACGCATGTGGAATTTGCACAGGTTATGCACATTCGACTGGAGGAAACGTAAAGCGCGAAACACATGTACGACGAAACCGTGCGGTCCGACGTCCGATCGGAACGGATTTGCGGCATGCGACCGACTGTCCAGAGGTGGTTGCGATGGTCGGATGGCCGCAGCCAATGACGAGGGAGGTAGCGGGAACGTCATGAGGACGTTGCGCTAGGATCCGGTTGCGGGTCCCTCTTCCTTTTCTTGGCATTTCCGGGGAGAGGAGGAGAGCCCGCGCACAGCTTTATTCAGCGCTCTAAATGGGAGAGGGAATGCGTGCCTGAACCTTCCACTGCATTGCCAAGAAAAGTCGCGTTGAGCAGAAGGGCGATCGTAGGAAGTCAGGCAACACGCACTGGTCACGGAACTGAACTAGGGTGTCTCTAGCCACCATAACTGAACGGAGCCGATCGGAACCGTCGGAACGACGCGTCGCAAGCTCGGTCGGAAGCATGTGTCTCGGATAATCGTATGCAGCGACTCGGAGCCACGATTAGAGCATCATACTTCGTTCTCCGAGTTTGCTGGGGCACCGCCGTTTCGGTGCTTGTAGCTGAGCAAGCGCGAGGAGCGATCGAACTACGACTTCCTGAGTTTGAGATTGGGTGTCAGGAAGCTCTAGAGATATCGTTTTGCTGTATCACGAACTGTTATTACAGTTTCGAAGGATGGAAATATGGTGACCGCGATATCCGATAAAGGATCAAATAAGTGGCAACAATGATTTCAAGCAGGAAGATGTAGGCTAGGTGGCGCAAGCTACCGCCCGTTATAAAGCATGCGGCCGCTAACATCCATCCCTCCATCCATCGATGCCTAAAGGCGCATTCACACCACGGGGGGGGGGGGGGGGGGGGGGGGGGAAGGGGAAGGGGAGGGGGGGGTAGCAGGGTTCCAGTTACACGGGCTCGCTAATAGGAGCAGAGACACATGTCCCGTATGCAATTGTATGTACTTGGGGAAACTATTGTGACAGTGAAGTCAAAGCAAGCGGGAACCATGATTGATTAAGAGGCAGTGTCGAAGCTATGGGTGCCTGAGCACTAGCTCACCATGAGCGCCGATCAAAGCTGTGCACGCGCGCAGCTTTGATTCCTTTTTAAAGATGCCCTAAGAAGGCTTCTGAGGTCGCCTAAATCTGGAGATAACTCACTCTGTTGGCTCTAAGCATCATAAAAGTCCCTCAATCGTGACAATACGCGGCGGATTTTCCTATTAGAAAAACAATCAAAGATCGCAGCACCTATTAGAAAAAACAATCAAAAACCGCAACACACCGAGTTCATCTTCGGCGATGGGAGGAGCATGTTCCAAGACCAGGACCACTGTCAGCCAATAGCAAGCGAAGGATTCTCGCGCCTCCTACCGGTGGAACCGCGGATTGATATGTCGAATGCGCGCGGTTCGTTGCCCGTTCAGTCGGGACTATGATTCAACCCATCGAGCGCGCGCTCGAGAGCTGACGACCGGACGCATAACTCCCATAAAAGAAAAAGAAAAGCATAATGCGTTGTTCTTGAGACGATAATTGCAGTAATATGCTCCCTCTCCGCAAAAAGAAAAGAAATTGATTATTTTTATTTGCGTTTATCACCTACAAAAGCGTTCACATTTGGTAATAACAGCGTTTGCAACCTCACTGAAGTGTCGCGTTTTTATTGGTCACATGTCGTCCAGCAGACAGAACAATGCTCTTCCCATATCCGGATATAACCTCGGTGTGTTCGATCTTTGATTGCTATTTTAATAGGAAAATCGGCCGGGCATCGTTATGATTTATGGGTTTCTAGGGTGCTTAGACAATTTCAGAAACCTCCTCAGGGTCCTTTTAGATCTATAATACGGATAATAAAAGCAGAGATTCCATGCAATGATTTTACAGTGACTTTAGAATGTAAAATAAATTATTTAAGAATTAAAAAAAAAAATCTGGGAAGATTTTATCTGGAAGGTGTCAGGTCGGCTCTTGACACCATGAACAGACAGTATTCAAGAGTCCCTTGCGCGGAAATCATTTGGGTTACATGCAAAGTGGAGTTTTGTTTGGGACCCGAATTGGGGCAACTGCCAGAAGTGCTCATCGCTGAAGCGCCCAACTCTGAGGTTATCAATTGTCATAGAGAAGTTCTGCTGCGAAATTTCGCATGTGGCTTACCTTGAAGTATAGCAGAAAGACCATGACGACGCAGATGGAGCTGCCGATGCCCCCGACCACCATGGCCGTGGCGATGGTGCCGTTACCCAACTGCTGCGGCATTTCCACCTTCTGCTTTAACTCCTCTGCGAGCGGGGGACTCAGCTCGACGCTCTGCAAGACACATACCACACAAGGCTCATGTCCAGGAAAACAGTGTGACAAGAGTTCAAGACTTTGAGGAATTACACGGTCGATTTTTGTTCGACCCGTTTTCATAGTCCCTTGGCTTAGCCTCTTTGCACAGCTATCCTGTTTTGGTGAACAAGGCGGCTGTCTACACATGGCTTGCAGTGACATCACATCAGCGGCCATTAAAGAGGAGCTCCGACAAAATATTGATGGTCATCGATTTTTATCAAATGTTCACCATGCACTAAATATCCACTCCTGAGTATATCTACTAAATATATCTTCAAAATATGCATTTTCTTGCGAGAAAATGACTTCTGGAGTTTACGCCTACACCTCTGAATCACTGCCTCTCTAGTGGCAACAACCGCCAGTGGCGGCGCTGGGATCATCGTGAGGTTAAATGTATCCGAGAGCAGACGCTCCCTCCTCTACGGCGTTGCGCGTTGAAAGTTGATGAGATGGGGGGCAGAGTGACATCTCACGGGTTATCGACAGAGTTGTGTGCAAGCACAGTTCGTACTGTGCAATAGCAAACAAAACCTTCCATACGACTCTGCTTTTGAAGCAGCATATGAGTCCACATGCCGGCGTCTCGAGAATGCAGCCGCTACGGGTGGTTCCCTTTGGAGTCAGTGGAGGCAGATCGAATCCGAACGGCGAATCGTCCGAAATCTCGTCAATCTCGTGCTGGAGAATCGTGAAACAGTTGCCGGTCATTACTTGATTCGGACAAGCTTGGCGAATCGTGGTCAATTGTTTCCCACGGACGATCTTGACGGCCTTCTGATCGCTTCTGACGCTGAGCAAAAAAGGCTGCAGCTGCCCATGTTCTGGTGTTAAACATCTGACGTCACCGACAAGCTCTATTTTCTCTCTCAGTTTTTTTCGTATTTATACGGTAAAATAATATTGAAAACGTTTTGGGGAAATGTATTATACTCGTGCCACACGGGCAACTCGAATGCCATTTACAGCGAATGTCATTTGTGTGATCGGCGAATGAGCTCGCAATCTGTCGCGCGTGGAACGCGCCACGCCCGGAGTGTCGCGCGCTGATTGGCCGTCTGCTCAAAGGTCGTTCGTTGTAAATGGCATTCGAGTTGCCCGTGTGGCACGCGTATTAATTGCTTTAGGCTCAGTTTAATCACTCTTTCAGAAAATATATTTAGTTGAAAACATTCATAATAAAGCCGCACTCAGCAGCAAGGCCCCTTGGGGCCTTGCTGCTGAGTGCGGCAAGGCCCCTTGGCAGCAAGGGGCCTTGCCTTGCCGCAATCAGCAGCAAGGCCCCTTGGGGCCTTGCTGCTGATTGCGTACCTTCTGCAGAATACATTTCGCACCACCGAATTTGTTTTTCTTGGCAAACAGGCGAAGGACCCTATTAAAAAATCTCATTTGTATGATAAATTTTTGTGTCCAATAAACACACATGAATCATATAAGATATATGAGAACATTTAAGATATATAATTTTCTTCTATGTTCTTATATATGTTATATATTTCTTATATGTTCTTATATATCTTGTATGATTCATATGTGTTTATTGAACACAAGAAACTTCTCATACAAATGGCTTTTTCACTAGGGGAATGACCACCAGCTAAGGTTACTAGTAAAAAGCTAGTAACTGAAGCAGTTACTACCCCCTTCTGAGCGTTACTACCTTTCACTAACAATTTACTACCTCAAACGCGCAATAGGTAGTAAAAAGTTAGCAGATGCAGCCATTGCTACCTTTTTCTGACCGTTACTACCTTTTTACTACTACCGCAAAGGCGCGGAGAAGATGGCGGCGCTTGCTTCATACCCGATTGCCAGCGTCAGCGTGCTGTTTCGGATCGCAGGGGGAGGTGTCTACACGCAATCGTAGCGTCAAATATGGTATGAAAGGGCATGTTTAAGGGTTGGAGCTCACTTTATAACGATCGCAGCCTCCGTACCAGCATGACATGGAAGCCAGCGCTCAACGTTACTAAATCAGGCCCAAATCTGTCTCCGAGCACCGAGCTAATGACGAACACAACGCCACCATTTCTCCCACAGCGGCCACTCGAGGAACTGCACGTGACTTCTATTTTAGCTTTAAGAACAGATACAGCGGAAGAGGTTACAGGGGTGCCACCCCTGTCTAACCGGCGGACGCGCCGCGTCAAACTACCGAAGTTAAAATGCACCTAGGTCGGGACGCGCTACCTGAAAGCCCCGCTGAGGCATGGTTGTATAAAAACAATATTAATTGTGCCGCAAAACCCTCCAAACTAAAGATTTTAAAAACATAACGCGCCCCTCTTTTTATACTAAACTCCAATAAATTTCACACAAAAAGAGTCTTTTCCGTTTGTTTTTACGCAAAAACAGGCTTTCAAAAAGCTCAAGGTGACCACAGTACAGACAAACGATGAAGAGGCGCTGTTGTCGCATTTAGCTCGGTCTCGGTGGACGCCAGCGGCCCAAGTTTCGACGGCGAGTTTCCCAAGTGAGTGTTTTAGTAACGTTGCCAGCGCTGCAGCGAGCGCAGCAGCCATTGTTGATGCAATCAATGGCCATGCGGCTTACTTACTTTCCTTCTCGTTTGCATTCGTTTGTGAGCGTTTATATTTTCATTTTGGTTTTAACTTAGATGAAAATAGCCACGTAGCACATACTAAAAACGTTTCCGAAAAAAAAAAAAAAGTTAATTCTGTTTTGTTTTTTTTTAATATTTTTTTTAACTGTTTTTCTTTTACAAGCGACGCTCTGCTGACGCCTAACCCCTGGTTAGCTCAGTTGGTAGAGCGCTCCGCTGGAAATGGAGAGGTCCCGGGTTCGATACCAAAACCAGGCGGATTTTGTCGGTCGCGCATTAGTCACCTAGCTGTGTTTGGGGATTTGTGTTTGTCCTTTGTCCCCTTGTTCCCCTTCTCCAGGAATTATAATAATAATAGTACCTTTATTTTTTCCAACAAAAACAATGTTGAAAAGGTGACTTGGGAAAAAAGCTGTAAAAACAGCTTGACGAGCCCCAAACCACCTACACCAGCAGTCGCGATGCAGGCACTAAAGATTTATACAAGATTGAAACATGACATGTGTACTACATGTTTGAACAACTTTACAAAGAAAGAACTGACGCTAAACAAGATAAGTAGCATATTGATACAGTTTACACAATAGTGAATACACACACAGAACGTTAAACACCACTGAAATAAACGCGAAAGAAACCAGCGATTCAAAAGATTTTAGCGCTTATCACGGACAATTTGGCTCGAAATAAACATTTGAAATAAACATTTCTCGTAAGATGCTCACCGATATATTGCTAAGCTCAATGCCTTGCCTACTAAGCTGGTTAAGGGTAGAGGGCAAAGTATATTTTAAACTTTGGTGGCCGTAGTTTGTTCTAAAAAAGGGTACTTCCCAAGGTTCTTTAATTCGTGTTGGGTACCTATAAATTTTATCTGTTAGCTTCGCTAAGTTTTTAAGGTGACATTGGGATAAATTTGTTTCTATTTTATACCTTGCACATAAACGATATTTATATAAATCAAAAATTTTCATCACACCAATCTTACAAAAAAGATCATCGGTTGGATGTTCTAGTGGCACATTAGAGATACTTCTTAATATCTTTTTTTGTAGCATAAAGATTTTGTGGAGGTTGGTATAGGTAGTAGTGCCCCATATGAGTTGACCATAATTTAAATGTGAATAAAATAATGAATTATATAATATTAACTTTGTTCTAAGTGGTAGGATGTGTTAATGACGGTATAGAATACCGACGATGCTAGATAACTTTGATACGATATGATTAATATGGTCGTCCCATAACAAGTTTTCCTGAAAAATAACGCCGAAAGTTTTAAACGCGGGAACAATTTCTATTTGAGAAGAATTTATAAAAATATCCTTGGTAATATTAATATGTTTATTCTTAGGTCGGCATATAACTGCCTTGGTCTTACCGGCGTTTATTTTTAATGCACTATGTCTACTCCATCTATTAAGCTTTTCTAGTGTTTCGTTCGCGTTATCAATGAGCTCCGACACATCATTACCATCAAACAATAGGCTTGCATCATCTGCATAAATAAAAAATTGAGTTGAGTGACTAATATTTACGATATCATTTATATATACATTGAATAAGAATGGCCCTAGAATGCTTCCCTGCGGAACCCCCGATTCAATCGGTTTTATTTCAGATGAGTGCCCGTTTATATGAACGTACTGTGTGCGGGAAGATGAATATGAACGTAGAAGTTTTGATACATGACCACGGAATCCATACATATCTAATTTCTTTAGTAGCAAATTATGATCTAGATAGTCGAACGCTTTAGTGAAATCTTCAAATAAGCGGAGAGTGAGTTTCTTTTGTTCAAAATTTCTAAGTGTATGTTCTTTTTGCGCAAGGAGAGCAAGTTCTGTGGATCGATGCTTTCGAAAACCAAACTGCGACGAGCTAATCAAGTCATGATTATCAGCAAATGTTGTCATTCGAAGTAGTATAACCTTTTCCAAACCCTTAGAGAAAACAGGAAGGATTGAAACAGGTCGATAATTGCCCAGTTCGTTTTTATTTCCTTTTTTATATAACACTGTTACCTTCGCTAGTTGCATTTGACAAGGGAACACACCGTTTATGAAACAGAGATTGAATATGTGTGCTAAGGGAAGAGAAATGAGATCAATTACGTATTTAACTGGTTTGATCTGCAATCCATCGGAGTCGCAACTTTGGCTATTTTTTAGTACATTAAAGACAGATATTACCTCTGAAGCTGTAACAGGCATAAGAAACATAGATTCATTATTTCGAGCATTAATATATTTGCAAGCATCTGACTCTGGACGTTCTTTAACTAGATTTACATAATAGTCATTAAACGCATTTGACAATGCTTGTCCTGACAGCTCTTGATCATTGTGGCTGATCTTTAAAACTTGCTTCGTGGCGCACGAACGACCCAACACAGAGTTTAGTTTTTTCC